TTTTAAAAAATAGAGTCTTTGTCTTAACTTTGTTTTGAGTTAAAGTTTTCATGTCAGTTAAACCTCCTAAGTATAAATGCATAGCAGGAATTCTTGCAAGAAGGATTATGTAAAGGAGAAAGCCACTGGCTGAGCACAGCGCACTTTCCCACTGGACCATCAGCTGCAGGGAGAGTTGCATGAAAGTCACACGCAGAGCCCACTGTGGCCATGAGCGACCAGCTGGGGAATCGAGGTGTTAGCTCCAAACGAGGCAGCTCTACCTCGTTGAGCCTTGGCACACATATGGGTGGTCTTCTGCTGGGTGTTGCTGGTTGTCTGAAAGGGAGAGAAAAAAGGGGGAAAGAGGGAGAAGGGAGGTAAAAAGGTAATAGAGAAAGAAGAGAAGCAAACATTGTACACCTTTAATAAGCTACAAAGCTTTTTAAAAAATAAGAACTGAGGGGCGCCTGGGTGGCTCAGTGGGTTAAAGCCTCTGCCTTCGGCTCAGGTCATGGTCCTGGGGTCCTGAGATCGAGCCGCACATCGGGCTCTCTGCTCTTCGGGGAGCCTGCTTCCTCCTCTCTCTCTGCCTGCCTCTCTGCCTACTTGTGGTCTCTCTCTGTCAAATAAATAAATAAAATCTTTAAAAAAAAAAAAAAAGAACTGAGCTTTAAAGAACAATGGAAGAAGGGCAGGGGACAGAAGACAGGTGAGGGCGCCACTGGTTGGATCCAGGCTTGAAACTGAGCTCTGAAATTAACTCCCCGTGAAATACACCAGAGACTACAGAACCTTCTCCTAAGCAGACTGAGCAACCATAAGAGACTGTCATGAGCCTCCAGAAGAAGGGGCTGTGCGCACCCCCTGGTGTTTCTTGGAGCATCTGGTAAGTGGCTGATTGGCTCCCCTCCACTCTGCCCAGTCAGATGCTAACCAGTGAGCAGAGTTTTCTGCTGCACTTTCGAAAGGACTCAGTGCTTCAGTGATTTCTGCAAAACAGAACTCTAGAACTAAAGACCCTTCAAAAGAGAGTGCATAGGGCTGCAGAAATCTTGACTGAACATGCTGATCCAGGCACTAATTCGTTTAGTCCTCGGCCTCTGGAGAGTCTTTAGGTGTGTCACTTTTTGAAAATGCCACTAGGTACGCAAAGGGGAAGCACAGCTAGTAGTCAGGGCCTGACAAAGACGCTGGAGAAATGCTCTGCCCTCTGGGCTGGGCCACCCCACCTCCTTACCTTTTAGACAACCTGACAATCATCAGCTGCGAGATCTGTGTCAGAGAAGCCCTAAACCAGGACTTATGTTCCCCATAAGAAAATATGATTCTGACACTGGAGAACCAGTGGGGCTGCTTGATCCTCCCAAGCAAAAAGATCTCTGAGTTCCTTTAAGGGATTTCACGGGTCACTGTTCTCCTCCCCCAGAGAGATCTGGGGTTAGGATGATGTCTGCTACAGCATCACCAGGACTAAATCTCTGTTGGGCAGGAAATACATCACCACTTACATCATTTTTGAGACAGTGCATGAAAAAATGCATATGGGAATAAAAAAAAATTACATAAGCAGGAAATCTCTAAAGTATAGTCTGTTCTCCCTGTGGCTCTCAATTTCCCTGGAAACCTCCCAGAAATTACTTAAAAGCCTGAGAGAACACTTACCATGTAGAGACCATGGTAAAGATTCAATTCTCACAGGAAGTTCACTTATGAAGTCCGAGAACTCCACACTGGGTTAGTTTTGACCCCACCTGTAATCAGATCTCTAACTATCTCTGTGTGTGCAGTGCCGTCAAACAGGAAAATCAGGAAGAGAACGAAAACCAAAGAAACATAAAAGGCAAGGTTTAAAAGCAAGGCTCAAACATCGAAAAGAGCAGAGTTCCTTTGAAACACAGAAAATAAAATGTGAAAAAGGCCTCTGAACTTATCAAAGGCAACCTCCATTTAACAGAAGTAAACTGAGGCCCAGAACAGTAAGTGGCCCCACAGCTACTCTCTAGCCATATGAGGTCTGTGCCTCCAACAGCCACAGTTTCCCATCCGAGACAGTATCCTCAAGCTTTGCTCTCTTGATATATGGTCAATATATGCCAAACATATCTCTGAATTATCCCTTAAAAAATTCCCCTCCACTTCCTAGAAATCAGGGTTTGCATGAAATTTGAGAGGTCATTACATTCATTCTCCTTACATTCAGCAGAGCTGAGTTTCAGAAATATAACACTCGCTTCCTTGCTTGTTTTAAGGTCTATAGAGAAGGAAAGTTCTCATTTACTTTGATATTGCCAAGATGTATCAATTCAAAACAATGTGGAAATACCTTTTATGGATAGTTCACTATGTCATGTCAAATGGGAAATATATTAATTAATCTGTCCTGGACCTCGCTCTCAAGATGTCCAAGGATGAGTAGGCGAGAGGAGGCTTGCACTAAATACTTACACTATCAGGCAGACAAGGGCCAGGAAATTACTGCAGGAGTAGAGAAGATGATGTCATTATTCCTAGCTGGGGGATGGGTAAAGGGACCAAAGGCAGCTTTGAGACTAGATTAGGGTACAAGGAGAAGCAAGGGAATTCCAAACTATAGACTGTTCAATCAAATGCAAGGCAGTAGCAAACAAGGAATTCATATGGAGAAACACAAATACTTCAGTTTTGCAAAAGAAAGCATGTAAGTTGGAGGGTTTACAAGATATAAAACTAGGAAGGTAGGTTTAATCCAGACTGCATAGAACCTCTGGAGCTAAGAAAAGATGCTTTTTCTTTCTTCATCTTGTAATTCATGAGGAATCATTTATCTGTCCATTATACATAATTTTGAAGCAACGCCTAAATAATGGGCACCAAGGAAAGGCACTAGGGATGTAAATTTGAGAAAAAAACATGGTATCCACCTTCATGGAACTTAGTCTTCATTGGGAATGACAGAGGCAATGATTACTGGACAAGAGAGTGAGAAAGGTCGTAACAGTGCGCCCAGGGTCACAGTGGAGGGCAGAAGGCCAACTAAAATTCAGACTTGGAAGGGAACAATAGGAGGTATCCCAAAGGAAGAAACTGTGACGATAAATAGTAGTTTACCTAAAAAAAAGAAGAAATGCTGGGTATTCATGTAATGTTAAAAGCATGTTAAGCACACTTCAAGGTGTGTTTAGACTATAAACTATATTTGAACCCCAAGCTATAGGAAACTATGAAATTATCTTGCCATCCAAAATTACATTTCAAGAAGATAAATCCGGCAGCATGATGGAGGGGGGGAAATGAAAACAGGAAAAACAAAGAGCAGGTAACAACAAAACGCTTTACTTCAGAATCTAGAAAAACAACTGAGGACCCAAACTGAATGAAGTTCAAATGGGAATGTCACAGAGACAGAATTCATTCAGCTGAGCAAACCAAAATCTTAACGAACAAAGGAAATGTCAGGCACCTCACAATTTAGAATGGATCAACCAAAACTAGGAGCAAGAAAGAAAAAGCAGACCCAGCAGGAAATCTAGCAGTAGGGAAATATGTAAAAGGTTCACAGAGAACAGAACCCACAAAGAAAGAAAGTGAACCTGGAAAAAAGGCACATCAAGAAAACAGCAGGAAGAAAGGTTTGTGCTCTGTGGAAGGTGGAATGACAAAAAGAAAGGCTCCTGGTGACAAAGACCAATGGTATCCCTCAAAAAAAGCAGCTCAGGAGAGATGGGAGCAGAAGACACAAAATCACAAGATATTATGAATTACTGGATTGTGAAAGCTGATTACTCTTTGGAACTCTCAAGAAATTTAACATGGGAGGATAGAAGAGAGGCTGGTTATGTGAGAAGAATCATGGGAATTTTTTTTTTTTTTTTTTTTTTTGTAGAGGAGACTTGAAAAAGGCTGTAAGTCAGAAAAAAGAATTCATGAGAGAGAGAGAAGATTTATTCATCTTATTGACAGGAGGTTCTTATTTCTAACTGAAATCTATAATCCAGATCATTTGATTTTAAAGATGAGAACATCTAATTTACCATCCTTTAAATGGTGAAGGCCTTCCTATATTTGGGGCCTGTTATTAAATCACACCTTGGTCTTCACCTCTGGGTAAAAATACCAATCCATTAGTCCTTCCTCATGAGTTTTATTTTCCAAATGTTTAATCATCTCCATGGCTTATCCTCTGTGCTCTTCTCCATATTTTATCAAGTCTTCTTTGGGGTTAAAAAAAAAAAAAAAAAAAACAGAAGAGGATGCAGCAATTTAATAAAGGCTAAGCCTAGACTGAGTTTTTAAAAAGGCAGTTATAGGATGATCCCTCTATGCCAGTAGTTTGCAAACTCTTTGTTTTGCCTTCAGAGCAAAGGAATCATTTCTTCTAATTAAATCCTCTGCAAGATAGAATGGGCTGCTCCCTTCAGAAGGAGGGTGGGCAAAAAAGAGCCGAACCCACTGGGCAGTCCCCCTCCCCATTCTGTAGAAGCTACTGCTTTCACTCCCAGCAACCCGGGGTCTGAAATCACTGTTTTGTGACATACACTGGTGTTTGTGTCCCGGTGTCATATTCGCTGTGTAAGTCACAGTATAGCAGTGCCGAACGCTGAGTGTGCGGTTTGTTAGTTTCTCAGAATATCTAGGCAAGTTATCTTTTTTTATATCATGTAAAAAAAAAAAAACAAACCTGCCTTTGTCACTATATAACACGTAGATCTATACTAAAACCTTTTCCTACTTATAAATGCTAAGCAGAAGCCTCGCTAAATCACCCCAGACACGAGGGACCTCTTTTCTAAAGAGCTGAATGAGAGAGCAAACCAAATGCAAACTCTGGAAGCCAGGTCACTGATAAGCACAGACACCACAGGACACAAATACATGTTCCTTCAAATAAACATTTCTTTTTCCCTCCCAAGAAATGTCACCATTAATAAAACTCTTTCTCTACTAAATACCCTAGAAGCACTGCACTCCAGAATGCACGAGCTGTAAAAAAGTGATAGAAAAGAATCACACAAAGTATATTTGTTCACTTTGGTACTAACCTAATAAATTTAACAGCCAGGCCCAGGTCAGCTATACAACAAGTTCCATTTTTCTTCACCAGGATGTTCTTACTTTTCAGGTCTCGGTGGGCGATTGCCGGTTTGCCTTGGGTGCTAAAGATTTCTGTGTGTAAGTGACACAGGCCACTGACAGAAGAATAGGCTAACTTCAGCATCGATTTTGTATCGAGGGTGGTGGACTTCAGGTAATCATAGAGGGAACCGTTTTCATGATAGTCTGTGATTAGGTACAACTGGGTCCAGGACCCTGTCCCTTTGATATCTGCAGCAATGAACCCTAAAAGGAAGAAAGACAAAAAAGTTTGAACCCAAGCATGTTCTGAACAATATCAAGCATAATTCATACCCCCAAACATCGTTCTTTGTCACAGGTATCTTTGTTGGGCATTTCATTTGGCTTTACGATTATGCCCATGACAGTACTGAGTTATTAAAACCAATTAAAGGCAATCCAAACAGTAGAGGGAAGGGCGCCTGGGTGGCTCAGTGGGTTAAAGCCTCTGCCTTCGGCTCAGGTCATGATCCCAGGGTCCTGGGATCAAGCCCCGCATCAGGCTCTCTGCTCAGCAGGGAGCCTGCTTCCTCCTCTCTCTCTGCCTGCCTCTCTGCCTACTTGTAATCTCTGTCTGTCAAATAAATAAATAAACAAAATCTTAAAAAAAAAAAAAAACAGTAGAGGGAGAGAGCATTAAGAGTCTGTACCTGAAAACATGATCCCTTCCTGGTCGGTAGTTGATATCTAAGTTATTTTTATGGTCACAGTAAATAGCTCAGGCATCGTAGTTATACATAAGACACTGTTTACAAAACAGGGTCTTGAGTTGGGGCACACACACTTTCTACTTGAATGATTCAGCTACATCATTGCTAACTTGAGAGATTTTTTTTTTTTTTTAACTCAGTTCTCCATATATAAACTCTGGCTATATATAAACCCTGCAGATAAAACCTCTAGAACTTTTCACAACATTTAACTGTGTGCTCCTTCAAATCCCTAAGAAACCCTAAGAAATGCTGGTGTTACATTTGCATTTCCTGTTCCTGAAGAAAAACACGGCCCATTTCCAGCCCACGAATCATTCACAGAAGTGCCTTAGTCATTCCTCCTGTGAGGTCTCCCATTAGAGGCTTGTGACGTTCTTGGGCTTAGGCCAAGAAGCCAACGTCTATATATTTCATAACAGGTCTAGACAGATGAGTTCATGGGCAGATGTGAACAGAAACTGGAGGAAAGCAAGGGAACCCTGAACACTGCCGCACCGACTCACCCAGAATGTTTTCATGCCTCATCAACACTGTCTGATATATTTCTGTCTCTCGGAACCAGCTGGCTTCCTCTGTGGTGAAGAACACTTTCACAGCTACCTTTTCGCCACGCCACTTTCCCATCCAAACTTCCCCATAGCGACCTTTTCCAATCTGTTTCACCATCTGAATCTGCTTAGCTATAGTCCTTTGGACCTGTTAAATCCCAAAACACACTGTTAGTGTATTCACAGCACTACAGATTTGTTTAATCTTCTTCTTTCTTTTTTCCTCCAGAGAAGACACAATTACTGCACGCAAAATATATTTAGCTGGTAGTTTTTCTTTATATAGACACGTTACTTGTATTTATTTATTCATTTATGTTGCCCCCTTTTAAATGTATTTGAAACTGACTGTGGGTTCTCAATGTTTGAATTATTGCTTCCACATTAAATATTTCCTCTTACCTATTATAATATTCGGGGGGGGGGGGGGGGGAGAAAGCCCTGAATGGGTTCACAGTCATTGGCAGAATAGAATACTTTTCACATCCACTTCTGCAGTGGGACACTGTGAAGGGACTCATCCACTATGCACTTGATTGTGGATGAAATACAATGAAACAAAATTGTAATGCATTGTTGGACACCCCAAAAATAAAGGGAATCTCCCAGTAGAAAGGGGAGGATAGGGGGGAGGGCGGGGAGAGGGAGGGAGGGAAGAGCTGAGGTCAGAGCAGGGAATAGTAAGCATTAAGAATCCGCAAAAAGCTAGGTTGCTATCTGGGAGAGGAAGAACACCAGCACTGGGATCCAGGATCGAAATCCTGAACTCCTTAAAAGTAAAGAAACTGAACCTGGCTTCAGCATGAAGCTGGGACCATGGAGGGACACTAAATTTGCCAGAGGTTGGTAGCACACCATGGCTCTCAGCAAAAACAAATACAAATCCTCTCCTGAGAATCTTATTGGCCACCACTGCAGCCAGATGCATTAGATACCTTGAAGGAACACTTGCCACCACACAACTTGATTATGGTAAAATATAAGAAATAAAAAACTGATGAATTATTGACCTCACAAAGGAATACAGGAAATTCCCCAAGGCAGGGAGGAAAGGGTTAGCAAGGGGAGGGAGAGGAGAAGAGGGGAGGGGAGGAAGGGATGGGGAGGGAAGTACTCGGAGGAAAGGAAGGAAGGGAGAGAGGAAAAGAAGACCCCATAGAATAAATTCCTTAAATCAAAAGGAAACAGCCACCATAAATAAGAGTCAAGAAAAACAACCCAGGGAGGTTGAACCCCATCAGATTACAGATACTGGAATTCTTAGCTATAGAATGCCAAGGGATACTATATGCAATATGTAAAGAAACAGAAGATAAAATGAAAAGAGGGAAACAGCAAGAAATTGTTGAAAATTAAACGATGAAGTGAAATGGTTACTTGCCAAGGTCAAGAATGTAAACTGTACAGGTAGAGGAAAAAGAGGTTAGATCTGGAGAGAAAGTTAAGCTGGAAGAGCGCTGTGAAGACTTACAGAGAGGTAGAGCAAGGAGAGAGAAAACAGGCAAGGAAGTGGCCTGCAGGTCAAATGTCCCTTCACATACGATTGCAGCCCATCCGCACTCACAGCAAAATATCTGAAGAACTCCATGACTGACATGGCTGAATCCTGATGACAACTGGCCTAACTTGGGAAGCATATATAAGGAACCTAGCACAGAACTCTTAGAAGATCTGTTCAGAAAACTGGATTGCACTCTTCTCAGAGATGCGCTTCCCATCAAGTAAAGCTGCAGTGTCTCCTTCTGTTTTTACACTTTGAAGGACTATGTGACCTACACTGAATCTACCCAGATAACCCACAGTAATCTCATCTCAAGGTGAGCTGACCAGCAGCCAGTAAGTCTCCTTTGCCAGGTAAAATAGCAGATTCCAGGAATTAGGCCATTTGGGGGGTCATTAGCATGCCTACTGCAGATGTCTACCAGGGACGGTGGGTCCTATATTTGCATAATAGATGATTTTATTAATTCAAGAGGTAATACTAACCACTGCCAGAGCCATTAACAGCACCAATATCAGACTGGAAGCTTTTTGGGAAAAGATAAAATCTTTTTTTTTTTTTTTAAATGTTATCTTCTAGAAAGAAGGATTAAAAAATCAAAAAGCATTGCTGACATGCAATTCAGCCACTTAGTCTGAAGGAAGTAAGGAACAATTTAGGAGTCAAACATGCCATACAAGGAAATGTTCAGTGTATTTCCATTTTCTAAATGGGGGAACAGAAGCATCAAGAGCACTAAGCACTAAGCAGAGGAGAGCCAAATCTGCTAGCAGTTAAATTGCGGACTTGAGAGGAAACTTCCCACATTTATTACAGAAATATTATATTTAATTTACAGATGTTACAAAGCATTGCTTATGTAAATTTATGGAGCATTTCCTAACACAAACAGTTTTGTATTTGCTTCTTTTCTAGCAATAATATATCTTCTTATAATTTAATGAACGTACTAATGAAATTGGCAACGCTTGAAAGACTAGGAATTTATCTCAAAGATAAAAAGTGTCACTAAATTATATTCAGAAATTTAAAGTGTACTTTTGGTTTGAGACTTATCGTAACATCTAAGGAGGAAAACACTGGCAAACAAGCAGGTTTCAGTTCCGAGAGCATAAACATTTGATTTGTTAATACTAGAAAGGATATTCATATTTGTACTTTTCTTTAAAAAAAAAAATTACAATCCAGGTTTCTAAATGTGAGAATTGTATCTGCTATATATTAAATTAAAAAAAAACATTTGATAATAAAAACTTCTACATAAAAAAAAAAATCTACATCCTACATAGTATCAGTTGGCTCGTAATGACTACCTCACTACTTGCTTTCTGTCCTATCACCCAGCGAGGACATATTAATCAAAGAGAACATTGTTTCACTTATGCAAGATGGGTCAGGCCTAGGGATCTGCTGCACAGCATAGTGCCTACAATTAACAGTAGCAGGGTATTGTATTCTTAAAATTGAAAGAGTAGATCTTACGTTATGTGTTCTTACATGTAAAATTAAAAAAGAACAAAAAATAAAGAGGGCAGAAGGAAACTTTTGCAGATTATGGATATGCTCATGGCATAAGTTGGGGGTATAGTTTCATCAATGTATACTTATCCCCAAACTCTTCCAGCTGCACACACCAAATACATACTTCTATACATTAAATACATATAGGTTTTCTATCTTAATAAAGTTATAATTCTTGCCTTGAGATTAAAAAAAATTTTTTTAGTACTAAAATAAAAGGTCACCAAAACAATCAAGTAAACATGATATCCAAAGTCAGAACCAGACAATAAAGATGAGGAAAATTAAAAAAAAAAAAAAATGAGGAAAATCAATCTTAAGAGTTTGTGAAGGAAAATAGTTCCATTAAAATTGTTATTTTCCATCCCATCAATCTTTTTGCATGGTCTATAAAGGAACCAAATGCTTTTTTCATTAAAACAAGTGCCTTGGATGCGTTCTATGTTTTCTTCAAGGTTGGCAGTGCGGACCATCAGAAAATTAAATCTCTCATGAATGGAAAAGCCAGGACTTTGCCCTGAAACATAAGCTCTCCAGCTGAAATGCGGTATTCTTCCCCTGTAGAAATACTCAGATCCCAGTCGATTGTAATACTTTTGCCTTCAAACACCAAGCCAAAGTTTGGTAATGCTATCCTTACTGAAAACAGAGGGGAGATGGTCCCACGTTTACTGTTTTCTAATCTGCTCCTTATCAGAATGTCTAACCATACACTTACATTAAAAAACAATCACCTTACCCCCAGTATGTCAAAATGTTATCAGGAAGCCCTGCATCTGAGATCTGATGTCTAATCCACTACGCAGAGCTCCTCTTTGTCTGCTACCCTATCCATTTCAGTAAAATGAAACCCTGTGGTTATGCACATTTCCTCTCAGAAGGCATTTCCTTTAAATTTGAGACATGTTCTTCTCATACCAGCAGAGGGAGGCCTGATCCACTTCCTGAGCTTTGAGACTGCTCAATTAAGTCTCTCAGGGATTCTCCAGGAGGAATGTACGTTTCATCCTGCTCTAGCCCGATGCTGTACCGAGGTCTGGTTTCTTGTCTTTTATACCTAAAGACGCACAGAAGAAGGTAATTAAGATACTGAGTTGTAGCAATGGGAGTAAAACACTGCAGATAAAACAGTAATCACAGCAGATGTCATTTTAGCACAAAAGAAGATAAATTTTTAGTATTCATTATCCTTCATTATCATTTCTAAAATACAAATCATAATTATTTTGCTAAACTATTTTTAAGTCAACTACATGTTTTTACTTGATCTCAACCATCTATAATTCTTCTCCATTCAACGGCCTATTTGCTGGCAAGGATTCCAAAAATATTTCTATATAGCTTCAATACTCATTCCCTAAAATTTTTCCCTTTAAGGTGTTTAATTAAAGATGAATATTTAGCATTTACAGAAGACATAAAAGCTAACTCTCTCATCTCAGGCAATGTATAAAGCAATAATATAAATAAATGAAATAAATTTCAACTTCAGAAACATTTTGTCAATAATTATGCTTCCAATTAGAAATGAATTTACTTGAATCAACTCCTACTTGCAGAACAGTATCATAAATGAGTGTTAAAAAAAAGCAAATGTAAAAATTTAAACGTCCTTGATATATCACAGAATAGAAAATAAGTTCTTAGGTGTATGAAAATAATTCATAACTGTCACTTAACTTCAATAGTCAAGTTTATCTGAATAACTAATTTATATATTAGTTGAAAATTCTCCCATATTAAAAGGAAATTGTTAGCTAGGGAAATAAGGGATTACTGGAGTGATTCTCAGTTCAACATGGCCATTTCTCCACTCAGAATCAAACCTTAGTAACAACTAGATCCTGAATTCCTTAACTACCCTAAATTCCCTAAGAGTGAAATTTACCTGGGTGACTTTGATGTCTGAAGCAGAAATGAGACAGCTTCATTAAGACAAATATCTATCAATAGCCACTGATATTAACAGGGAAATCTAAGATTTAATTAAGTCAAAGAAAGTGGTGGTGAAAAACGTTAACTGGTAGAACAGTCATGTGAGGCCGATATTTTAAACTCAAAATTCTACATCTAGATGTTGGAAACTTACCTGAAGTAACAGAATAAAATAATAAGGACCAATAGCAGACTACAGACGGTTACAGATATAAGTAAGGCCTTGTGGTGTATAGGTCCGTCAACAAAATCTGAAATTAAAAAGAAGAGGAGCCATAATACGGAGGATATTTTCACTTGAAAATTAGGAAGCAAATCTTTCCTAAAAGTGTTGGCTAAGCCCCATATGCAAGATGTCCCAGGTCCTTTTAATCTGCTTACAGAGAAGAACAATATGGTGTATTGCACAGTAAATATATACACATATATTCAAAATTATTAGAAGCTCAACTAGTGTGAAACATAATTCATGTAGGCACTTGTTTCTTGTTTCAAGAGCATGCATTTCTTCCCCTCTGGAAGGAACAGGCTTGACACAGAATAGAAGTACAGAGTATGAACAAATGAAAATGGATCAAGGCCTCCAAAATGTAGGTATGTGGTTCATCTTTATCTCAGATCCAGCTGATGGGTTTACAGGTTTTTCTCATGTGGTTTCTGAAGTGTTCCATATCATGAGTTTGGGCAAAAAATCCTGATCTATATTCTTTGTACATGAAACACACACAGTCATCTTATGATGGGTACAAATCAACAGGATTTCTCAAAGGTTGCTGAATACAAAATATATGGACGTGCACTGCTTTAAACAAAGATGCCTTTCAAAACCACATAGTTAACTTTTCCATAAACTGCATCATATTTTAAAAGAATGGGCATGTGCTACTCAAAGAATTATTGTGTGATCCTTTTATAAAACAAGTTATTAAATATTATTCATGTTGTTTTAACTCCAGTTCTTGACAAATCAGATTTACCTGCAGCGTGACTTCTCAAGCTTCATATAAATAAGAGTAACCTGGAGAGCTTTATACAAATGCATATTTGCTGAATTCAGCCTCAGAGATTTTTATTCTGAGTATTTTATTTTTTATAATCATCCCAGGTGATTTATATGCAAAGAGTTTCTGAAACATATTTTGAGAAAACTGACCTAAAACCAGGTGCACTTATGTAGTAACAGAATTAGCAGTGTTCTTATTATGGGCACCATATACCCTTGAGAAAGTGATTACTGTTATTTAATTTTTAAAGGTATTACTCTAATTTATTACTTCAGTTACTATGAATAAGAAATTTTCCAACAGTGCTGTATACTTTTAAGTGCATGGCTACCTAAACATTTCGGCTGGGGACCTTATCCTATTCAAAGTAACAATTTTTTTAAAAGATTTTATTTATTTATTTGACAGAGAGAGATCACAAGTAGATAGAGAGGCAGGCAGAGAGAGAGAGAGAGAGAGAGAGGGAAGCAGGCTCCCTGCTCAGCAGAGTGCCTGATGCGGGGCTGGATCCAAGGACCCTGAGACCATGACCTGAGCTGAAGGCAGAGGCTTAACACACCGAGCCCCAGTGTAATATTTTTTTCACTCAAAAGTTTACATATCCCATGAAACTAAAAAGCACCAACTAATGAAATCAATAAAACCGCCACCATCTCATTATTTAAGAAAATTACAACATTTTAACCTATGCCTTTGCAGTATCATTTCAATGAACAGAAAAAAAAAATTTATTAGCAAAATATCCCACAAGGCGGCCTTATATACGCTCATGTCCATAGCAGATTTATTCACAACAGCTAAAACATGGAGGAAGACCAATTGTCCACTGACAGATGAACGGTAAGCAAAATATGGTATATGTACATATACGCACGGACTACTGTTCAACCTTAAAAAGGAAGTAAATTCTGACATATTTTACAACATGGTGAATCTGAGGACATTATACCAAGGGAAATAAGCCAGTAATAAGAGGACAGATATTGTGTATGATTCCACTTCTATGAGATACTTAGAGTAGTCAAAATCAAAAGACAAAAGATATAAAAAAGGCACAGATCATACAACTTTTTTGTTGTTGTTGTTAATGAAAATGACAAACGTCACATCACACACATCTCAGGGTCCACTAAAATATGGAAAAGTGGACCAAACATAAACTGACACAGGACATGAAATGACATAGTATTTCATGGACTTCTATAGGAGATTGAAAACAGAACTGTAATATGATTACTAAAAATGCTCTTTATTCAGAAAAACTGAAATATACCGGCAAGTTATCACCCAATGCAGGAAAATGGTCCAAATGGTCGTTGCCAGGAGCTCAGAGGAGTTAATGTTTAATGGGTATAGAGTTACAGGTTGTAAGATGAACAGAGCTATGGAGATGGAGGAGGGTGATGGCTGTATAACATTATGAACATATTTAATACCACTGGACTATCCACTTCAAATTTCGATAGTAAATTTTATGGTATGTGTATTTTACCACAATAAAAAAAAAAACTTAGGAAAAAAAACACTGTTGCTCGCTAGATTATTTTCATTGGTAATATTGTGAATATTTTCCAAAACAATAAATTTTTCCCATGACATGAGTTTTAAAGACCACATAGTATATACACAGACACATCCTAATTATAAAGTGAGTCTTCTGATAATATATATTTAGAAGATTGTAAAGATTTTTCTATAATACATCCTTGCTGTAATATATAAAATTTTGTGGACACTCTTAAAGGTACATCACTGCACATGTCAGTGATTATTTCCTTAATCTAGATTTCTAGAAGCATAATTATTCAAAGAATATACATTTTAAGGTTTTTCATACATTTTGTCAAAATATCCTTTAAAAAAGATTACAATAGTTTCTATTTCACCATCAGTGTGAACATATGTTTTAATTATGTTGAAATAATTTCAGTCTTATAGAAAACCTGTAAGGATAAAGAACTCTAATGTGCCCTTCCCAGAGAATTACCATTTTTAAAATTTTACCTTATTTGCTTTGTAATTCTCTTGCTCTCTCAGTATGGGTATCTGTGTGTCTGTCTATATATATACAAATATATACATATATATATATTTGCATTCATATTTATATTTATTTATATGGATGGTTTGTAGATCATTTGAAGTTACAGATATAATGTTCCTACCCATAAACACTTCAGGATGCACTTCCTAAAAACAAGGACATTGTTTTGCAAAATGGCAATGAAATTATCAAAATGAAGAAATTACCATGAACATATAAACTGAAAATAAATCTTACTTTAAAATATCTGGATTTTTGTTATAAATTAAAATCCACAGGTCTTTATACTAAATTCCAAGTCCAAATCCTGTTACGATTAATGTGGTAATTTACTTACCAGCCTAGAACATATGTTTAACAATTACTTATGATCTACACTACTTATAAAATATTAATGGAAGTAGTCTGCCTCCAAAAAGACTAAGTAAGAGGCCATTAAAGAAAAGCAGTTTGATATCAACAACTTCATAAACAGTGCCAATGGTCCAGATAAAAAGGAGTTCAGGACCTTGACCCATTTTTTGGACAGGTCCAAAAAACCATTCGGGCTCAAAAGACCACAGAGATTGTATAAAGTAGCACATGCATGTCTGGAAAGTGTTACTTAGGAAATCCTGAAAATAATTTGCAGACTCTTAAAGAGGCCAAGGTTTTTATCTAATGAACTGTTTAACAAAATTTCCCTCCATTAGGCTGTAGGCAATAAAGCCCAGGTGAGCACAGTCCCTCTGAGGGGGAGAGCCCAGTCCGCGGTGTTTACACACGGGCAGGTGCACAGAAGCCACGGCGCACGTGCACATACGTGCAAACATGGTCGCTGGAAACTTCGCATAAAACGTGTTTCCAATTTTAAGGATAACAAAAGCAAAAAGCCTTAGTTTGAAAAAAAAGGAGAGAGAGAGAGAGAGAATGCTGGATACAATTAAAACTGCAAGAACTAACCACTTAAGCACAATGGATAACCAGTATCTGCATAGAGAACATTTTGTCATCCAAGTGATTAATTGCATTGAACCTCTCAGCCTCACTGCCTCTTACTTTCCATGTAAGAGCAGAATACACTCTGAATTCATAGAACACTGTATCACCCATCTTATTTGATATCTGATTTATGAGAGCAACGAGACTAGAAAGCATCTAAGGGATTCTTTCCTCAAGCATCACATAGTTTTTTCCTCAAGCTAGCATTAGCTCCCATTTTCCTTTTCTTTGCCCCAATAACCCTATTCCCTGCAACCTCATCTACTGCCTCCTTGTCTTCCGACATGAATATGCGATCCTTATCAATAAACCTTTTGTTTCTGTTGGTCATGCTGGTCATGTTTTAATGTGCCATTACCTGTGCTCAGAGCATTAACAATGTAAACATTCAAGTCACTGCCAGAGTCTCGGAAAGTGGAAAGCGAACCCATCCAGATTCCTATCAGGAAAAGAACAGAGCGCACAGTTCTCTCCGGGACAGCAGATTTTTACCGGCGCTGTCACTCCAGCTGCTCAAGGAAGTAGAACAGAGAAGCCTCCAGGGAAGTCTGGCTCAGTCTTAGAAGCAAGTGAGAATCACCGGTGGTTTTTTAACAAGATAGCATTCTGTCACTACTTGTCTCTTCTCTAATCAGTAAGCAGTTTCTAACTGTTAAAAATGGCAGGGACTGTTTTCTGTTTGTTTGTTTGTTTAATAAGGCCATAAGACGGTTCCTAATTGCAATAAGAAATAGAAGAAAAAAACCCTGTAGCTAGAACAGATCTTGGAAATAAGATTGCCCAAAGACATCTCTGCATGTGTTCTCAATATTATAATCATGGATAAATTAGAGACATCTTTCAATTAATAAAGCACAAAACACCTGAAAAGCATATTTTTATCAGAGGATTTTAGTCAACAAAGAATATTGTAAAAGTAATTACTTTCATCTTACACTGGGATTCTTTCTTATAGTAACATCTATAAATAAATTGACTGTAACAATAAAGACAATTTTCTAGTTATTTTCCTGAATAAAAATATTTAGGATTATATTTCTTGGAAACACAGTTGGTTAAGACAGATTTTGTTAATGGTAACTTTATTATTATTTTTTCTTATTTTTACATGCAGGTGACATACAATGTACGTTAGTTTCAGTGATTCAGCAGTTCTGGACCTTTAAACTGTGCTCACCAGGATAAGTGTAGTTACCACCTGCGCCATACGATGTTGTTACAG